CTGATTTATTCGTGTGTTCTTCCTTCGCGAAATCAACCCCTTTATCAATCATCCACTGCACCCATTAAAAACCAATTCAAGTGTTCACAATACCACACTCAATTTGTTCATCTTCCATCCGCTGCATCATTCAAAGGGTTCCTTGTGTTCTGCTCTGTTCAACCATACGAAGTGACTCCTTGAGATGCAATCCTCTCTAGGATCGTGTCGGATACATCGTACACGTACGGGTTGTTGATCTTATGCTTTAAACTTTGGTTGCTGCCGAGGAATAGTCTCGAGAGCATAAAATTTGGAGTTTCATCGACGAAAAAAATGATACATGCACATTTGGAGACCGTCACCTCCGGAAGGCAATCAAGCATGCGACGACCCATATCCTTGATATACTTGGACATGTAGCATAGTCTGGCGCTTTTCGGGTAGAACATAAAATTTTCTTCTCCAAGATTCTCTCACGTCTAAGTCAGACATCCACTCGGGAGTATGTTAAATTGTAAGGTAAGTGTGAGTTTAGTTTGGTGTCGCGTTCGAAAATCTTGGTATCATCTGCTTTTTTGAGGAGAAGCATAAAAATATATTTATAAGAGAGATTGTAATAGAGATGTGGTTGGACCTCTCTTCGATGGACCTATGCTAACGTCCCTGATGTTTTATTCCCTAGTCGTGTCTTAATTCACCTTTCTTGTTGATTTCTCTCTCTCTTTCTCCAAGGATAATTCACCTTCTTTGTAGAGAAGCTTTCCTTCATCTTTAATGTCATCACTTCATTTACATGTTTTGTCTAGTAGTTGTACAGTCTTCGAATGCAGAAGCTGAAGTTTGATATACCCAGGCAAATAAGCTCTGCCACATACACCCGGAAAAAAGTTGGACATATCCTCGTTCGAAGGATTCATGCAAGCTAGTAGGGTTGGACATGAGACGGGTATCCTAAAGTTTTGGAGCATCCGTTACCCGATCCAACCCTAATGGGTATTTGAAAACGATATCTTTACCCGACCCGCAAAAAACGAGTACCCTATTCAACGAGTATCCAGAAAAAAATCATTGATCCGCCGGATAATCGATCATTACCATTACCCGTCTAATTATAATATAATTTATCTATAATTAAAATTAAGCAGCTTATATCGCAAAGAAATGAAAAAAATATTACGAAAATAAAAAATATTTCTTTTAATAGGCAACATATAG